ACGGCGGGGTGCCTTTTCCTTCGTTGTGCCATCATTGAGCTTGACCCGCTTGTCAGCAGACTCATCCTCCTGAGACGCAGCCGCCTGGGGAGGAGGGGCAGTCTCCTCGGTATCGATGGTCATGGCATCGCTATCCTCGCTGTCATACAGCTCCTCCAATATCGTCTCGGCACGCATGCGCTTGATGACCCTCTGGGTAATGGCGACGTCTGTAGACTTGGACACGAAGCCGGCCTCGTCGAAGCGCTTTCTCTTGGAGCCAGCGCCATTGCCGAGCTGCATGAGGCCAGCCAGTACCTTTTCGTACTCTGACTGCTTCGAGTCCATGTCCGGCGTGCCTACGGGGAAGGCAGACTTGCCCTTCTCGGCGTCCTCCTTCTTGACTTCCGCCGCCGTCTCCCGCAGCCTCGACCGGGTGAAGCCCTTGAGGTCTTGGATGTACTCGTAAAAGGTGCCAATATCGCTCGACGGGATCGCATCGGCGTGGAATACCCGCTTCATCAGGATCGTTTGGTGGTTCTTGTTAAACTTCCACGACTGGCGGGCGGACTTCCAGGTCCTGAGGTACTCAAGGGAGGGCTTGATATCGGCAGTCGGCTGCTGGGTCGCTGGCTTGGCCGGCTTGTTGCTCTTCTTCCTGTTCTTCTTGGGGTCGACGGCGGTGGTGGTCTTCTTGACGTCGTCGGCAAAGGTCACGGACTTTTGCTTCCTCAGGGTCGGAGTTGCATTGCTGTCGCCGTCGGTGCGGGTCCTTTTGAAGGGGGAGTCGGAGTTGTACGCAGGGGGAGGAGTAGGCTGATCGAGACGTTTCCTTTTGGCGGCGGCGGCGGCGGCCGGCGAGGCGTAGGCGGCGTTGACGACGGGACCGCTGGCGTCCCGGTCGTGGTGTTGTTGCCCGTTGGGCTTCGATCCCTCGGCAGGAGCAGGGCGGCCAATCTCTGCGCCGGATGCGGGCTGCTTGAGCTTGAGGCCCAATCGCTTCCAGGCCGGGACGTTTGGTGCGGAGGACATGACGGGCAGCGGGCACACCCTCTTTTTTTTTTTGCTCTTTGCTGTGACCGGCTTTGTCTATCGGATTTCCTCTGAAGGGAGGGGTGCTGCTGCTGCTGCTTCCTCGGGCCGCTGCTGGATCGGAATTTGCGTTTCTGCGCGTTTGGCCTGACGAGACAAGCAACAAATGCAGAATTGGGCCGCTTCGATGTTTTCCACGTGCGATTGGCTTATTCGATTGGAATGCTGTGGCCTCGTATACCGCAGTCCTATTGGGCGCAATGGGTGGTGCTTGACACTTGAAAAGAGAGTATCGGGAATGGTCCCAATACTTTTTTTTTCTCTGGCTCTGAATACTGCCCAGCCAAAATTTTGGCAGCAGAGATGCGTTGTCGTTCCCACTGGACAGGGGTGCCCCGCTGCTCCCTAGTCAATTGGTGTACGTACTGGAGAGTGCCGCTTCAGTATTGGTCTCGGCACGTGCTGTGGTGAGCAGCCGTCAAAGCAGCCTTATGTAAGCTTTGCGTCGTGGGAGAGCTGTTGCCTTACAGAATGAGCCCGGGTGCAAGGCATCCACTCAGCCTTCTAGCCCAGGCCGGGAGCTTCCCGCCGCTGTCGTTGCCTCTGCTCCAGGCAAGCTCCTGCAAACGCGTCGACATCCAAGAGCTCCGCTAGAGCTCAACCCCGACTTCATTGACGACACCCACCTCGACCTTCCACTCTTCAACGACTCTTTCAAGCTACTGACGACCGACCACGATTTTCTTCGACTTAATTTGATCAATACAACCATAGCAATACCGCCAAGATGTCGGGTGCGTCCGTCCTACGATAGCTGGCCCCAACACTTGTGAAAGCCCACCATAGCTAACATGTCTTCCCTCACTCAGGTGGCTCAGCTTACGACCGACACATTACGATCTTCTCCGAGCAGGGAAGATTGTACCAAGTCGGTATGTGCAGTCTCCTTCCCTACAAACCGATTGCCCCTCCCTGTGGTGATGCCGTCATGCGGGGCTCGAAACGACCTGGGCTGGAAGTAGTCGATGGGACTAACGAACCGATGCCGAATAGAATATGCCTTCAAGGCAATCACAGCCGCCAACATTATGTCGATAGGCGTCAGAGGCAAGGACTGCGCCGTTGTCCTGTCTCAGAAGAAGGTCCCTGTAGGTCGAGAATCAGCTGAGTTGCCCGTAGAGGGAGAGGAACTGACCCAGGTACAAGGATAAACTCATCGACCCCGCCTCCGTCTCCCATCTCTTCCAGCTTTCTCCATCTGTCGGATGCGTGATCACGGGCTCCATCGCCGATGCCCGCGCCTTCTCCCAGCGTGCCCAGGGCGAGGCAGCAGAGTTCCGCTACAAGTACGGCTACGAAATGCCCGCCGATGCCCTGGCAAAGAGGCTGGCCAACATCAGCCAGGTCTACACACAAAGAGTAAGCAGAATGCAAACTTCGAGGTGGCGGCGAGAACAGGAACTGACGAGTGGTATAGGCCTACATGCGCCCGTACGGTGTTGCGACGACGCTCATCTCTTTGGACTCTGAGTTCGGTCCTCAGCTGTTCAAGTGCGATCCCGCCGGTTACTACATTGGCTACAAGGGTACTGCGGCCGGACCCAAGCAGCAGGAGGCTCTCAACCACCTGGAGAAGAAGCTGCGCAACAAGGAGCACGCCCCTGGTGACTGGACGGAAGTTGTTGAGCTCGCTATCACGACGCTCAGCACTGTCCTGAGCATGGACTTTAAGAAGGGCGAGATCGAAATTGGCATTGTTGGAGGACCTCGTGCCGACGGCAAGGAGGGCACCGATCCCGGCTTCCGCATCCTGACCGAAGATGAGATCGACGAACGGTTACAGGCGATTGCGGAGAAGGACTGAGGTGGAAGAAACACATTCCGGCCGGTGGAAGCTGGGAATGGTTGGTGCGGCGGATGCTCAGTCCAAAGTGACACTGATGCGTTGACAGGCCAGACCACGCATGAAGTTTGCGGGATATTACAGATGAGAATCAAGTTTAAAGCCCCACGAACCGAGATCCCCGCACACGATTGTACTACTAGCGAGCCTACCAACCACTATAGATCAAGACATTTGGAAGATATTGCCATGATCAATCCAACAGCTATCGATATGAAAGCGTTCGTGCTGCAATTTGTGGCTTGGCTGAGTGCTGATCGAGTAGGCATGCTAAGAAAGTCATGGCTTGCCCGAGGCCAGCGGATACCGTGACTCACGGAGTTTGCGCCGGACATTACCTTGACGAGGGGATATGAGACAGGAGAAAATATGAGCACTCATATGGCCCGGTCAAACTGTGGGAGCATTATCAAATAACGGGCGCCGGATACTCCCATGAGGCTGTCAAGGTGTCGTGAAACGGTCTCATAGGGCGGCCAGTGGTATTAAGTGAGTCGACTTCTCCAAAAAAGCAAAAATTGCAGATGATTAAGGACATTAATAATTGCAGGTTGGTCCATTGAGAGCTCCTGATTGCTCAGCGACCCGAAGTCAGAAATGCTGTGCAAATGCAAGGCCATGTTTCCTTTATTGGGGGCTGCAGAGTTCACGAGGCCGAGACATGGATGACGGTTCTCTAGGAAGATGGCGTCCCGAGTCAGAGCTGGAGATATCAGCCCCCAAAAGCTCCCGACCAGTCCTTTTCACAGCAAATGAGTGCCGGAAAGAAAACACCTCCCGAGTCTCCCAGTCAGCCTTCTACTAGGTCGCAAAGGGGAACGGGGACGGGGGCCTAATGCGGGTGACGGTTCTACGATACTGGTTCAGCTGGAATAAAACGTGCCAAACGTGCCAGCCGTGGGCAAACGTCACAGTTTCGACGTTTAATTGGTCATTATCCCCGTCAAGCCACGAAGCTGTGGAGCAGCACTGCATGCAAAGCTCCAGCCCATTTCCCCTTCCGGCCGCCAAGTCTAGTGTGGATGCAGCTGAAGATCCACCAGCCTTACCTTATTCCGCATCCCTGTCACCGACCTGTCCGTTCTACCGGAGAAAAGACTCGCTTTTGATGGACTCGATGGAGGCTCGTCGGTTTTTTGTGGTTTTTTTTCCTCCGTCATCCCATCTTGTCCCCCCCCCCCCCGGCTGCCTGCCGACGAAGACCATGTGCTCGTTCCATCCCACCGTCCCAGATCTTCCCACCCTCTTCCCGGCCCAGGTCTCACATCCCATGCAGCCTTGTCCGGCCCATGTTGAGTGGCCGCAGCCATGATCCCGCATGCTGACCTGCCCACCTTACACACCAGACTATCGTCAATTCTGATAGCCGTCCAGGGCTGGAACGTGGTCTTACAGGCTTTCAAGACGCAAGTTGGCATCATTCCAAGGCATCCTGGCCCTCCACGATATCCAGAGAAGTGTCTCTATCGCATCATCTTGCCGGGAACCGGGGGTATGCCACCAGCTTGGCTAGGGTCTCCGTCTAGCTTTGAGCTTGCAAAGCCATCCCAACTGCCAGTACCCCGGCGTGTATTTTCCGATTCGTCAGCTAGCCCTATCAGCGAACTGGGGGGGCCGTGGATGTTCGAACAGATGAACCAAGGGTTCATTGGACACAACCCTCTCAATGATCTCATGCATCCCTATGGGGCTCCCTCCGCTCGAAGGACCCGGGCATGGGTTCTGGTTCATGGTTCCTGACGGGAGCCAGGCTTGACCTTGATTCGGACTACGCTCCGTAAACCTTCGCGGTTGATTTCTCGTGTCCTTTGGAGGCCGTCCAGAACATACAAAAGGAAAACAGCGTGGCGTTCAAGTTTGATGTCGATCATCATGCTCCATCCAGTGTTTCATGGTTCTCGGAAGCAACAGCCTCTCATTCGCTAATCTGGCACTAATCTTTCTATCTACTTTCTATTCACTCGACTTATTTCCTTCATATCAGATTTCCTTTGATTACTAAGAGTACTAATCTACCCTACGTACCATCATAATGGACGGATGTAAGTTGCAATACGTCAAAGTCCATCCATAGGATGTGTTCCGGATGGCATTGGCTCTCGTGGTGCGCTCGCGTCTAATGTTCTTGTTAGTGAATGACTATCGAACGACGAGAGTTGCCGAAGTGCTCTCCGATTTCCGTACTTTACAATACTACATCGCAGCAGCACCCACAGACCCCAGCAACATGGAAGACTACTACACAGAAGGCTGGGCGGCTTTGCGCCAATGCTCCCTCGATGGGCAGCACATTCTCAACTGCGCCGCCGACACCAGCGTTCCACAAGCAAGTGGCGGGACCCTTGAGCAGGAGAAGGCGGAGCTGAGGCAGTAGGAAACATCATTCTGGCTGATCCTTCGGCAGGCAAGCTGACTTTGATATTGCAGATGCTTGCTTGACGCGTTCTCCAGAAGACACGAGTGCCAAAAGATCTACCTACGACAAGCTGCTGCGCAGCGATGGGTTACCAACAGGGATGGCATTCTGCAGGGCGCTCGACCGAACTCGAGAAACCAATCGCATCTGAGAGCGTGTGATCAACAGCTAAGAGCTGTAAGTTCGGGATATACCGAGAGTGCTAAGACTGGGTTGGCGGCTCGGACTAACATGATGACTCCAGGAGCTCGCTACCGTCACCGACGAGGCGATCTACAACGAACTGCAGGCATCAGATGCCGCAATGGGCCGCTGGACGGCTGAGGACCCAAGTCAACGAGCTGTGCAGCGCTGGCTCCGCGCACGTCGACCGTGAAGGCTCTCCGTCACGGTATCCATGAGACGAAGACTCACGAAGTTGAAACGACTGAGGATGTTCGATGACTCAAGACCAAAAAAAGTAATGTTTCTTCTGACGGCATCGGGGACGACGGACCTTTGACATAAACGGCGCATGGAGGATACCATTTACGAAGCGAGCGTTTCGATCATGTTTTTTCTTTCCTTTCTTTCTCTTCTTCCTTCGGCGGAATGCATTATTACTAGCTTTTCATGGGCGGGCTGGACGCGCTTGAACAGGAAGAAGGTCCAGGCAGACCCAACGACTACAGAGAAGAAGGTCATGGTGATAGGAGAGAAGAGGCGAACGGTAGAAGTTTAGATGACTGAAGCTGCCTGGCGCAGGCACGTTGTTCGCTTCTACTGTATATATTTATTACACATGTTCTACATGGATCGAGAATGCCAAACATCACATCTTGCATTATGCACCTCGAGCGAGACAGCGGTATACGCAGATTTCATGCATGCACCTTGTCTCTTCTCGGAAAAAAAGCGGCCCCCAAAAACCATAGAGGTTCAGAATCAATACTTCGTTTTGCTGTGCACGCATAACGCTATGCCTGAAAGAGACAACACCATGCCGACCAAGGTTTCTGCAGCACATTTAGCCATCGTGACCAATCGAAGAGGGTTTCCTCATCTTTGGAACGTCCGCACTTACCTCGACTAATGACCTTCTTCTCAACCCACCAGTCTCCAATGACAGTGAAGAGGAACGCCAAGGTGTTGACGATGGGGACCGTCAAACTCAATTCTAGCACATTCTCCGTTATTCACAAGACTCTTCTCTCTCACTATCTCTACCTCACTCCAGAAGGAATTGCGCTTGATTGAAGGGGGGGCAAATGAAGGTACTCACCAGCTTGCCCAATGAGTAGGAAGAACCAAACACTTCCGGTCAAGTTAATCAGCAGCGGCACGGCATACCGCGGGTTCCGCAACAGATCGACGACGCCGAAGAAGGCGCCGTACACACGGCTCCGGAGCCAGCTGTTCTTGACGGCGTCGGTGTCGAGGACCGGGTGCGGGGGCGGGTTGTGGTCCTTTGCGGCGCGGCGGATAAACGGGGTCGTGAAGCCCCACGCCAGGCCGACGAGGAGGAAGCCGGCGACATAGTTGATGGCTGCAGGCTGGGATTCGGGGGCGTCCGGTGATGTCATTCTGAAGGAGGACGGGTGGGCAGCCCGGCAGTGATGTGTGTGTTGTGTGCGTGCGGATGTGGTGTTTCGATTCTCAGCCTCGTTTCGATATTTGGAGTGAGGTGTGGTTACATCAGCTGAGGCTCTATTGAAGGTTGATTGTGAGAATTGACGGGCAGGAGGGTTTCGTTTGGTTTGGTTTGCGATGGGATGCCGACGGTCCGGAGGACGGGGAATTGGGACGGGATGGTGTGTAGTCGGATTGGGGATGGGCAGGGGCCCGAGCGAAGCCTCAGCTCAGCCACGCGGCAGGGTGGGTACGTTCTTCCTTGACAGCCGCGCTGGGAGTGGTGATTGGACGGTAAGTCCGATCTGACATGGGCACCGCGGCGGCACTAGCCGAGCGGCTGACCTCACCGACTTCGTTCGATGCTTTTTTTTGGCGCGGACAACACTTACGCTTCCAATGACTTCACCTGAAAGATGCATCGTCACCGAGAATAGCCATCATCGTGAAAACGGTGAAGAGGCCTCTCACGATACTGCAGAAACAGAACCGTCTGGCTTGCTACAATGGCTAACTTATTCCTCCAGCTATTCAATGATCTAGTCATGATCCTAGACAGCTCGGGGACTTTTGGCAACACGAACTTGAGCTTAATAGGTTTGTCCTACTCTGTATAAAAACGGCTAGAAAGCTAGAACTCTCACGCCAGACCGAATTGTATCACTCGGAAACAGACGCGATGCATTAGTCGGAAACTGAGTAGCCCCGCAGCCAGCGGGTTGTAGGCGACATGACCCGGCCTAGGACTACGTCAGGAGAAGCACGTATTTCCATCCTCGTCTCATTCGCTGCTGGGTCCACGATGGTCCTTTACACGTATGCAAGACAATGGATCTCATCCTACGGCTGCTGCGCCGGTCACACGAGCAGCATCGGTAGACGACGTGGAATATCATGACTCTTGAGATTTACTCAAATGCCGGGCAGGATATCTCGTGTTTCCAAGCGGCGCATGTCCAGAAGTCGAATGATTGGTGTCAAGTCAACACCGACGAGACCCTGATATCCCCTATGGCTGGCTGAATGCACTAGTACATCAAACTTATTGAAACGGGTTTTTTTTTTTTTTTTTTTTTTTTTGGGAAACGAGTGACCCACAGCCCAACATGACTGACAAGCGTCTATCAATGGGGGGAGGGGGGGAGAGGATGAGGGAAGATAAGTAGGGCAAAGCGATGAGCGTGATGGAGGGGCTTCGCGGTTCTACATATCTATGAATCCACCTGCATCTCACATTTTCTTACATTTTCCTTCCCCTAACGATCATTACGCAAAGATCATTGCATCTCCCTTCATTCCCTCCGGACAAGAAGCTCCTGCCGCGGGGAGTCTGTGCTCTCCGCAATATGCATATTTGCGTCTTGGCCCGGCCTAGCTCGACCAGTCATTGACATCACCAAACAATGCCGATGAATCATCACCTCCTGGCCCTAGTTCCCAGCCGCATAGCCAGCCTAGCGGCACCACGCCGTAATGCTCTTAGCGAACGGGCGAAGCTTTGTGATGGTGGGATTGTCTAAAACGCACGATTTTTGCAAACGCAGACAGACTCACGCAAGATGAGCACAACATCAGCTTTCCCCACAGGCCACAGCCCCCCCGTACATCTCGGCCCCTTGCACGGTCTAGAAGCGGTCTTTGATGCTATTTGCTTCGGGCTAATACCCACTTGAGGGCTGGATCTGGGCAAGCTTTGGACTTGGGGCGGTACCTTGCATTCCTCTCCCAGATTACCATGTCAGATTTCGATCTCACATTGCCCGTTTTGGCGGGGGTTTGACAATCGGATTTATTCTTTGGCGGTGTCAGATGCCCGTGAAATCAGCATTTCATCTCATTCTTGTCCTCGTCACCGGGTTAGTCCACGGCGAACTTCGTCTGGATGAATTTCAACCAGCCAATGCACTCCATTGGTCTCGGCATTTTCATAACAAGGTCCAATCGATGCCAATTGACTGAAGTGCTGCCGCTGGGAATCAGATACCTAGCCGTAATAGCGCATCGAGCATTAAGTTTTCCTTTCTTCTTCCGTTCAATTAGTGACGATAGTATTTGGTCATGACGACAAGGTTGGGCGGCCGAGAAGCGCAGCCTAAATGAGATCGATCTACCTACATGCCTTCCACCGTACCTAGCATGGTGGTTTGAGCCTCGATCAAGCAAAGAGCGGTTCCAGATTGGTTCGCTTTGAGGTTACCCAAGCTCCAAGCTCCTGCAAAGAGCCGCTGCATCTCGAACACCCGCCTGATCACTTCCTCAAAGAACCTCTGCCCGGAGTGTTTGCTACGCTTCCTTCCTCTTGCTATGCCGTTTTCCCACTAGCATCATCGATCGATCTGACTTCATCCCTCCTCAACGACCGGAAGAATACCTGAATGGGAGGGGCGGCGGCGGACGGACAGGCATGAACCGAATTCCCCTAGTGTCGTACGTCCCTTTGCTCTCCCCCACCCCCGCGTCTCCCGTTAATTGTAAAGTGTAACGTCGTAGGGGATTGTAGGGCTGGCACTGCTAATTCCTTAACCAATACCACCAACCATGTTAACCACACGAAGCAGCGACCTTGAGGCTGTCACCGTGTCACAGTCAGTAGTTTGTTCTTAGACCGGTCTATCATCTTTCTTCCCGCCCCTCCCCCACAACTTTCGCCCCGGCGCCGGCCCCCTTTCACAACGTGTGCCTCTTTACGGAAAGTCATGTCTCAAACCCCCTTCCAGGCACGCAAAGTACGTCCGCTTGGGCGTAGCGGAATAAGGAACATGCAACACCATTCAAGCCACGACGCACCGACCTAGATCATCTCGATCTCGCTCAGTCTGCTGGGACGATGTTCTTCTTCTCTGAACATACTACTAGAAGGAAAACCAAGGACGTCATGACTTTTCCTCATCAATGATCGAAAGGGGGAAATGTCACTCGAGTACGAGGGAGCTTCCGGCACTAGGTCCATACAGTTCAGACCGCTCGGTCGTTGGCCCGGTAGCCTTGCCGTAGCTCGGATGAGTTGATTCCACGTCTTGCTTCTTTCCCTTATGCAAAGGGGGTTGGAGGAAGATGTATCTTTTCACAAGTTCCGTATTTGATTACTTGGGTACCGTGGGCAGTTTACCAATGTCGAAGTGAAAAGGCTATGTACATGAGGGGTAGATTCGATGATGACATGAATTACGTCGAAGCTGCCCGCTCCAACACATGGGGATAGCACCACGAGCTCTGATGGCGGTCAGGGGATTGAACTGAAGCCTTGCTTTGTTTGGGTGTGTTTGTTCTCCTGCAGCTCGAGCTCGACTAGGTCACAAGATTCCATCTCGATGAGCCCAGAAGATGTATAAGAAGGAGGGAATCCGACACCTCTGGAACATATCCTCTCTCTTCTCATCATCACAACAACAAGCAATCAAACAATCTCATCATCTACCATTAGCTTAACAGCAAACCACCAAGTTTCCCAACTTCAATCACCAATCACCAACCTTCAACATGCCTACCGAAGCTCAGATCGCCGGCGGCCACAAGGCCAACATCAACAACCCCAACACGTCTGAGGAGTCCAAGCAGAACTCCAAGAAGATTCTCGAGAACGAGTTCAACGGCGGCGATGTCCCCAAGGCTGGCGACAATGAGGAGAAGAACCCTGGCAATGTTGCCGGTGGCCTCAAGGCGTGAGTATTCTTCCCCATGCTAGTACCTCGGACTGTTGCTAACATGTCAATCCCAGTACCCTGAAGAACCCCAACGTCTCCGATGAGGCCAAGGAGTCCGCCAAGGAGCGTCTTGACAACATGTAAATGATGTTTATGAACCGATACCCACCTTATCGCTTGGGATGGAGCTGGCTAGCGAATATGAAAGAGTCAAGCGTTGTATCTTAGTCAATTAGTCTGGCGCATGCAGGCGATAATGAGAACACTGTCAAACTCAACAGTCTCTTCCATGTCAAAAACTCACAGTGACATGTTTAATAGCTATCATAATACTAGCCATGTGGCCAGTACATTCACAGTTGCTTGATATTCAACATTGGGCTCACCAAATTTGCCTTGCATCACATTAGGTACTCATTGAGTTGTTTACTAAATTTACCTCCTCATCCCGCCCATTTCATTGTAACCCTCAAATGGTATACTACAACTAAACCGGTATGTTTTTCTGATGGTGGTGAGACTTCGTCCAGACCAGTCTTGTAGGTAGCTAAAGATGTTAATTTATTTTTGTTCACTATAACAATGTGTACTGATGCGAGTATTCTCATGTGGTTACGGCCTTAAACGAAGTCCTTTTAGCTTTGGACCGCGACTCAGGGTTTTTCTTTTTTTTTTTTTTTTTTGGCAAGGATATGTATATATAATACCGATTGGTATCTCCCGTCTGTCTTCTTGCTTAGGAATCATTGCGGCAGGTGGACCAGTCGCAGAACAATCTAGACTCACGGACAAAAACAGCAAGGCTTGGGTAGCGAAAAGGCATGAAAAGTGTTATCTAGTACATTCATCTAATAGTCAAATTACAAATCTATAGCTCTACATATGTGCAGGTAATATTTAATACAATCACATGCCCGGAGCCGCAAACCCAACGCCTTTGAACCCAAACGCCCTCTTGGCGCTCAAATACAACTCAAAGGCTCCAAGCTTGAGCTCCACCCTCAAGAAGCCGATCCACGCGGACATGAGGCGGAAGGTATTCGGCGGCCACAGCAGCGATCCCCGTTGCTTCAGGTCCTCGAGCTGCTCCTCAAAGACAGTCCGCGTGCAGTACCGAGCGAGGATCATGAAGGAGCGGATGGGACCCTGGCGGGTGTGCAGGTTCTCATCCAGACTGCGGGTGAGGTCGTTGGTCTTGAGGATGAGGAGGATGATGCGCGGGACCTGGCCGAGGAGCTGGACGAGATCGACAATCAGGCCTTCCTGCAGTGCGTCGCCCATCTCCTTCTTCTCGTCGTCGGTGCGCGTCTGCAAGACGGAGCCCTCGCTGTTGAGGACGCTCCAGTCGCGGCCTGTGATTGCGGAGGCGAAAAGGGGGAACTGCTCGTCGTTGATGTTGGCCACCTCCTTGGCATACTTGCGCATGCGCTTCATGTCGCCGTCAATGACAGCGAGCCACATCTTGGCGTAGGAGCGCTGCAGGTCGCGGGGGATTTCGCGGTAAAGGCCGTGGTCGTAGAGAATGATGTCAAAGTTGTGCCCGCCTCGGAGGCCGCGCCTGGACTCGTTCTTCCGAATGGCCAGGTTGCCGCCGTGGGGATCACAGTGCAAAGGTGCATCGTGGCCAAAGATCATTTCGTTGAAAACGCGAGCGAGACAGGCGGAAACCTCGTCTCGGTCAATACCGTTGGCGTCAAGGTACTCGAGGTCGTCTAATCGGTGTCCTGATACCCGCTCCATGACCAGGATGCGCTCCTTCGACCAGAGAACACCAGGAACGACGAGGGGGTGCTCAGGCAGCTTGGCGAAATGTTCCCTCGTACGATTAGCGTTATGCTCTTCTTCTCTGAAGTCCAATTCCTTCGGCAGCGAGATATCCATCTCTTTGGAGAGCCATTCCAAATCGTATTCCGGGAAGAAGCGCTTGAGCGTAGAGAACGTGAAACGTGTCAAGGCAAGGTCGAGTTGAGACCACTGGCCAAGTCCTGGGTGCTGTACTTTGACAGCCACAGGCATTCCGGTGTCCTTCACTGTAGCGGTATGTACTTGAGCGAGAGATGCAGCACCAATCGGTTCGTTTGAGAATTCGGAGAAGTAGTCCCAGAGCTCTTTTCCAGTATCCTTGCGGAACATTTCCTCAATTGACTCGAAGGACGATACGGGGCACTTGTCTTGTAGTGGGATGAAGGTGTTTGTCCACTCTTGCGGGAGGAGGTAGTTCATCGCACTCTTGATGGTGTATTAGTTTCCAGAACTACAAGAAGTATAAGAATAGGGGGACTCTCACAAGGTGCTGGCCCAACTTGATGAAGATCCCGCCGTTCTTCTCCAAGACCTTTAGTGTTCGATCGGCGCATCGCTGGTGACAGTCTTTCAAAATTTTGTTTGCTAATTCGGGGTCGTCAATCGTTTCTTTCTGGTTGAGAGTCGTTCGGTAGCTGCAATTGTATTAGCAAAGACCACTCCGAGAGTGTACTTCTTTGAAGAATCACTCCGAGAGTGTACTTCTTTGAAGAATATTCTCCTTACTCATTAATGCATACTGCGAGCGCAGCCGCAACACGGCCTGCTCGCTCTGCCGCATCGTAGCCGTACTTGATGTCGTCGCCCAGCGCAAGGACACCTGCTGTCGCAACGCCACCGCCTGAAGCAAGAAGCCACACGCGACCACCCTTCTTACCACCGCCAGTCCTCGGTGTAGCCCGGTTGATCGCGGTCTTCGAGGTCGTGGAAGAGAACCCGCGTGCGGTGTTGCTAAATCGTTGCTGTTGTTGCTGTTGTGTCCGGCTGGACTGCTGCGCCAACGGGCCTCCACGACAGTTGGAGCATGTCCATGGCCGTCGAGTGGCAAGCCGGCGCAATGGGAGCGAGAAGGCGGTGAAGGCTTTCATCTGGACTCTGGCCGACTGCCGCCGACGATAAGACAAACAGGAGAACTGTCTGCGCCGATGCTCATTCTATGAGTTTATGTTGGGATTCCGTGTTTGCTTTTGCATGCAAAGAGGCGTGTCTCGATGTGGACTTTCCCAACAGTCGCTACAGATAGTGGAGTCGGTTTTCAAGGGATCGAGTCGCTTTGGGGGCGGTCCAGAGCTAATTAGTCGAATGTCATGTCGTCAGTCAACTCTTCTGGACTTTTTTTTTCTCTTCCTCTATCTTTCTGGCCCTGAGCCTGCGCCTGCCATATCGTTGGGGTCTAGGGGAACGGTGGCGCTCTTGACGGCCGCTTTCATTCGTCGAGCGCCACGTTTATCCTTACCTCGGGGCCCGTTCGGAAACCGCCGGGACAGAGGTCCAGCCCAGAAAACCGTAATTAACTGTTTCTGTATGATCCGTCACTGGACCGGCAAGGGACCCTCCAAAAGTGGATTTCACGTGTCACCGCTCCAAGCCACATGTGTTGTGGCGCAAAACATCTTTAGTTCAACCGCGTTCAGGTCGCGTTCAATGACACCTTCCCGCGCCGTGATTCAATTAAGCAACCTGCCAGAGGCGACAACTGCAACTACAGCCTCAGCCCCAGACTTCGGCACATTGGGATAGCACAACCAACAACCAACACTAATCTTTGCACTCAAGCATCATTCATTCGATCGCGATATCAACTCTATGCAACAGAACAAGACATCAGACGTCAGCCAAAGCTCCGAAATGTTCTCCGTCGCCGGACCCGTACCCATCTTCAGCGACCGGACGTGGGATTTCAGGCCCACGATCCCATCGCCTCTTTCTTCATCGCCCATTCGCGCGTCATCACCCCTCTCGCCCATCAATGACAACACCGTACGCCACACACAATCCTCGCCTATTCCTCAACCAAAGTTCAAATACGCATCGAGAGCTACGAAACCGAACCCGATAGTTCGGAAACGCGAAGAAGCGCAGGAGAGCAGGCGGAAGCTGTTCCTCCAAAACGTGAGGCAGCGCGCGGATGATCGTCAATACCAGCGGCGGGACATGGAAGGCACTGTACGTGAAGTTTTTGCTACTGACTGTGATACGGCCTACTGACGTATCCGACAGCTTCTCAAGTCTGACTGGGATCGCGACATGCGGCAACGGCATTATGCCAAGCAAATTGAAGGCAACGCGGTGTTTTCCGAAGCGGATATCGAAGACGCGGCAGCTGTTCTCCAAGATCGCGCGCAACGGATCCCTGATAACACTGACGATATGATGGTTGATGCCATCGCCCAGGAGGAGCAGGACGAGCTCGATGCGTTATTACTCTCCTACGACCAGTCATCTGATGTGCAGCCCGAGACTGGCTCCTCGCAAATGATGCAGTCAGATTCATACGGCCTGTCAGACGACGAGGATTACGACTCGTTATTCATGAATTTGGTATCACAGGAAAGCAGTCAGCCAGACGCGTCCTCGCAAGATATGGACATGTCATGAAAACATGGCGTTGATTACGGCTGGTCTATTTGCTTTGCGGCGTTTATACGAGACTATTTGGCTTTCGGGGTCTGGGGGTTGCTATTTGGCGTCTGGCATTAAACAGCGGTCGGAATATGCCACGAATGGCTACTGTGTGTATGCAAGCTCACGGGACAAGGCACCGGTTGTGTAGGAACATATTTGACGGGACTTCCATTGGAAAGTCCGATTATTGGGGATTACAGCCCTCGTCTGCACTGAAAGCTTCTTGCGCTGATGGCATATCACCGACCAAATCAGACGGAGGTGAGCCAGCAGCTTGCATCTGTCTCCTGTTAGCGCGTGAAGATCCAAATTTGGAGAGGTTCCAACCTTTTGCATCCTGTCCACAATGTACTCTCTGTCCGCCGCGTTGGAATCGGCGTACGTCTTCTCCTCGAACTTGGCCACGATCTCCTTGACTAGCGCTTGTTGCTCCTCGTACCGCTTGAGATCCTCTGCTGGCGTCTTTTCCTTGTTCTTTGCTAACCACTCGGGAAACTTGTCGTTGAGCTCCTTCATAGGCTCGTACAGGATTTCTTTGTTAGTGAGCTGCTCCATCATGCCCATGAGCATCTTTGAGAACTCCTCCTCGTTGCCACCGCCGCCTTCGAGGTTGCCCTCTCCGAGTTGCTTCATCATCTCTGCGAGGAAATCTTCGGTAGATGACTCTGCCGCGGCTGCAGTCGCCTGTTGTCCTGATGCTTGCATGCGTTCCATGGTCTTCTTGATAGTCTCCTGGAAGGAACCGTCGGCAATGGGGTCGGAAACGGGAACTTTGCTTGAAGATGAGGCTGACGCTAGCGGTGTCGGCGCTTTTGCTCCGGTCGTGCCTTCGGCAAGGTTTTCCGTTCCTGCCGCAGCTTCACTAATCTGCTTAAACACGTTGTCGAATTGCGCTTGCATCTCGGGCTATGGTAAATGGTTAGCAATCGTGTCTGAGTCGGCTGGCAGTGGAAGTCTCCCACATTCTTCTCAAATTCTCCAATCAGGTCTGCCATGCCAGCTTGGAGCTGCTTAGCGAAATCGTCGGAAGATAGCATCTCTTCCAGTGTTTTATCCTCAGAATCATCTTCCACAGCTGTCGCGGGTCTACCTGGCCCAGCCGCGGTGGTTCTCGCAGCTGACGCAGCAGGTTGTGCTGTTTTCTTCGGTTCCACATTCACGGCAGCAAAGTCATCGAGCATGTCTAGCAGAGTCAGTATATTCCAAAAGGCCGCAGAGGGTTCCCTATGGCAGGCGCACCATCCAAGTCGTCCAAGTCGTCTTCATCGGGGTCAGGAACATCCTCAACGACAGTTGTAGGCTTCGTCTCTTCCACTGGCGGTACCACGGGTTTCGCCTCGGCATTGCCGGCGCCGGCTGCGCTACCATCCTTCTCCATCTTTGCAGAGTGCCTCAAGATGCGATTCCCAAACACGATGCGTGCTGCAGTAAATCAAAGGCGCTTGGGTTCAGTCTTGACAAAGGTAACTTGCAGTGCGCATTGGTATAGAGGCGACAGGAACCGGAGCCTCGGGGCGCTGCAGGTGATGGACAGCCTCCAAAAGGTTGGGTCAAGATTGACAGTCGCACCGGGCTGGGATTATGACCTTTGTACGTGCAGAAAGATGGACTGTCAGATGAAAGCCGAGGAATCGGCCTGAAGCTCCTGGGTTGTCTTGCATCTGGGCAGGTCCATTAGCCCCACGTCAGATTCCCAGCACCCCGCGCCGCTGGACTAACGCGGTATAGGGCGGGGTCCTTTCTCCCATTTGTCCATTGGGCGACCTGATGTTCCGCCTCGCGCCCCAGCCGCCCCCCTCCAGGAGTCCCAACTGCCCTGAGCTCCTGCGGAAGGTACCGCGGCATCTCACGTTTACCAGGTCTCACACCTTCCATCCGTTGGTCGATCGGAATCGGTACGTACCCTTACCCCGAAAATCTTCCGCCTTCCAACGCGGCGCATTCAGTGAGGCAAGTGCGAGGTGCCTTACCTCAGGTAACTCGTTGACGACTTCCACTCGCTGCGGCTTTGCCTTTACACACCGAACTATCTTCTCAACCCCCCAGCCTTACCACTTTTCTCTTCTACATCGACTGGCGTGACCGTTCTACGGCATCTCCGCCATCCGAACGCCTCGATCCCTCGACTACGGCCCGATACGAAGGTTGAATCGTCCCGATTGTGCACAACCGCAACCTTTGCGACACGCGAGCCAGACGTCGCACGCGACTTCGGACACATACACTCTAAGCAACGATCACACTTCTCCACGATGTCGCTTTGCCAGAACAGACTTCAAGAGGAGCGGTATGTTGTTCAGCTACCCCGATCCTACGACCAATGCCTAACTGATCTGGCTGTGCTACAGCAAGCAGTGGCGCAAGGACCACCCCTTTGGTTTCTTCGCGAAGCCTCAGCGTAATGCGGCGACTGGAACCCTAGACCTGAAAGTCTGGGAGTGCGGTATTCCTGGCAAGGAGAAGACGATTTGGGAGGGCGGCCTGTTCAAGTTGACAATCACATTCCCCGAAGGTATGTTACCTAGAGAAATGACAGTGGAGTGAAAGCCGGTTACTGACAATTCTGCGCGAAAAAGAGTACCCAACGAAGCCACCCAAGTGTGAGTTGAAAACACCCCTAAGCTTGCAACTATACAGTAAACTGACAGAAGTTCCTCAGGCAAATTTGTCCCTCCGCTGTTCCACCCCAATGTCTACCCCTCCGGCACTGTTTGCCTGTCGATCCTGAACGAGGAGGAGGCGTGGAAGCCTGCCATCACGGTGAAGCAGATCCTGCTCGGCATTCAGAACCTGCTCGACGATCCCAACCCCGAGTCGCCCGCTCAGGCTGAGGCCTACAGTCTCTTCAAGAAGGACAAGACGGAATACGAGAAGCGCATCAAGCGTGTTGTGAGAGAAAACCCGGCGCCTTAGGAGCAAAGGCAGCTATGTGTGAATAGATTTACGAGATCACAGCGTCATGCCAATAGGCAGGACTTCGGAGTTACGGGAATACCATACGGTCTGCTTCTCTGCTTTCGATATGTCATATGACAATGCAATAATGATATTGTGAGGGAAGCAAACAGGGGGGCTTTCAACCCACACCCCAGCTGTTGATCTATTGAATAGGATATTTGCGTGTGAGATGCATCAATTGAGTGCTTGGAAAGACGGGCAGACGTGCTATGCGAATCGACTACACGAGCCTGGCACGCAGGTAGGTAATGATGACTCTTTTGGCGGTGATTCCAAACCCCACCAGACCGTGGTGGGAGTCTCATTTTATTACCCGTCGAAAGCCGCCGGCTGTGGATATTCCACCGGAACCAATGCCGCCGGGCTGTTGTGTCGGAGGAGCGCGCCTCCACAATAGCTTGCTTGGCATGAGACCCGGAACCCTGACACTGGTGACGAGTAAGTCGGGGGTTGGAAGAGTCAGGACTCAATGGGAGCGGGCGTATTACCAAACGGTGAAAGACACGAGCTCCCGAAAGCCTCGTTTTCCCGCCAGTCAAAGACTTCATCCCGAGCAAAGTGAGGTAAGTATGCCCGGCAGCGTTAAGAACTGCAGCTTCGCAGATAGAAGGCGTCTCCGTGGCACCATATGTAGGCTGTCGCGGAAAAACAGATTAACAGCAAGCAGCAAACAGCAAACGGCAGAACCACACCGACTCGTTGTCTGCGTTCTCGTTGGTGGCTGGGCACGATGCAGTTTCTTATCAGTCGGCAAGGTTAGGTAATTGGGAGACTGGTGAACTCTGACTGGTCAGTCCGCCAATGGGTGCGAGAGCCGAGATCGGCCCAGGGGGACCAGCTATGTTACACTAGCGCAGTGCAGCAGATTAGCGTATCGTGCAGATGCAGCCAGTCACTGTGGTTCCGTCGCAGCGGACCTGCAATTTTGGCACACTCTGACACCCCTTGGGAATACTTTGGCACAGAGTTGTAGACGGCCCTGACGTTTCTGACCCTTATCGAAGCACCGGCTACGGCCTCCGACAACCCAAGCTTGGTAAAGTACCGGGTGTCAGGGCTGGGCTTTTTGTCGGATGAGCCAGGTGCTAGGGGGGGATGTCATTGTATCAGAAGCGCGGTCCAATGCTTCCAAGTAGGTACTCTCTGGGGCCGTTGCGGCAAATGGAAAGGGTAACTAATGTCATAAACAAATAACGATAATAAAAAACTGGGTGAAGCGCAGGAAGAGTCATAATTCTTTCACTCCCACCCCTTCACCCGGTTGCTCCCACCTCTTGCTCCGTATTTATTCTCCCGGGACACGTCTTTCGCCTCTTCGACCTTTTCTTGAGTTGCAAAGTTCATCCCATACACATACACAAACACACTGCCGTAGCTTCGAGAGACAGCAATCATGTGTGGCATTTTCGCTTGTCACCGGTAAGCCCAACTGCGAGATCGTCCCTACTTCGGCGCGGATGGAGGGGCAGCGCGAGCTCCCCTCCCAAAAAAAAATTAACCCCGCCATGATGCCTCTGGAGAATGCGACTGACCGTGTGCGCGCGCAGTCACCCCGACGTCCAAAAGTTCAAGCCTACGGCTTTGAAGCTGGCAAAGGCGTAAGTTTTCCATCGTCCATCTGCAAGGCGCATCAATTGACTCCCAGTTCGCAGCATCCGTCACCGTGGCCCCGATTGGAGTGAGTTCTGAGTCACCGCGATGCGCTACTTCGGCACCAACCAAGCAGACAACTGACAAAACTTCCTCGCTTAGGCGGAAGCGTCATTTCCAACAAGACGAGTACGTTGAACTTGATCTCGACGATCGGTATTCCATCAATTGACCATCAATCGCAGTTCTGTGCCATGAGCGTCTTAGCATCGTCGGCGTCGGTATGTCCACCCTCAATACCTGGCCACGATTTCCACGGCTAACCACCCTCACAGAATCCGGCGCCCAGCCCCTTACCAACGAGGATGAGAGCATCGTCCTTGCCGTCAACGGTGAAATCTACAACCACCGTCTGATCCGCAAGTCCCTCAAGCACAAATACCACTTCAAGACCGGTTCCGATTGCGAGGTCGTCATCCCTCTGGTGAGTCAAGATCACCCCGCGACCTGATACCCACAATAGTAGACATGGATATCTAACGTATCACAGTATATGGAGTATGGCCTCGATGCCCCGAAGCACCTCGACGGCATGTTCTCCTTTGTCTTGTACGATAAGAAGCAGGACCGCACAATCGCCGCCCGCGACCCCATCGGCATCACCACCCTCTACTACGGCTGGTCCTCAAAAGAGCCTGATGCGGTGTACTTTGCTTCCGAGCTGAAGTGCCTGCACAGCGTCTGCGACAAGGTTGAGGCCTTCCCGCCTGGTCACATCTACGACTCTGCCACCGGCAAGACCACAAGATACTTCGAGCCTACCTGGTGGGACGCCGCAAAGGTCCCCGAGACCCCCCTCGACCTCAAGTTGATCCGCGAGAAGCTCGAGAAGTCGGTCCGAAAGAGACTCATGGCTGAGGTGCCCTACGGTGTCCTGTTGTCCGGCGGTCTGGATTCCAGTTTGGTCGCGGCCATTGCCCAAAGAGAGACTCTGCGGTTGAAGCAGGCGGCCCTTGAGGCCAACGGTGGTGCGCTCCCCATGACGGAGAACCCCGACACTGGCGATGGCATGGTTGGTATCGACGACGACAACAAGCTGTCAACAGTCACATATCTTCCTCAGCTCAACTCCTTCTCCATCGGTCTCCCTGGATCGCCCGATAACAAGGCTGCCCTCGAGGTCGCCAAGTTCCTCGGCACCAAGCACCATGTCATGACCTTCACCATCGAGGATGGTCTTAACGCTCTGTCCGACGTCATCTACCACCTCGAGACCTACGATGTCACCACTATCCGTGCCTCCACACCGATGTACCTCCTTTCCCGTAAGATCAAGGCCATGGGCATCAAGATGGTTCTCAGTGGTGAGGGAAGTGATGAGATCTTTGGTGGTTACCTTTACTTCCACGCCGCTCCCGACAAGAAGGCGTTCCACGAGGAAACTGTTCGCCGTGTCAAGAACCTGCACCTTGCCGACTGCCTGCGCGCTAACAAGTCCACATCCGCTTGGGGTCTTGAGGCGCGTGTGCCCTTCTTGGACAAGGAGGTGAGCAGAGTGCAAATCCCGATGATATTTCGGCTTCGCTGACTTTCTATTTCCTGTAGTTCCTTGAGGCCTGCATGAACATTGACCCCTCAGAGAAGATGATCACCAAGGAGAAGATGGAGAAGTACATCCTCCGTAAGGCGTTCGACACCTCCGACGAGCCCGGCGCCGAGCCGTACCTCCCGGACAACATTCTGTGGAGACAAAAGGAGCAGTTCTCCGACGGTGTCGGATATGGATGGATTGACGGCCTTAAGGACACCGCCGAGCTCCACGTTACCGATGAGATGATGAAGAACCCCAAGCCGGAGTGGGGCAGCGACATCCCGGACACCAAGGAAGCGTAAGCATCGTCCAATATTTATCCCTCTTTTGTTGTTGCGAAAGATCAGGCGCCGCTAACACACGATTTGACAGATACTGGTACCGCCTCATGTTCGACGAGCACTTCCCGCCGCATTGCGCCTCGACTGTCATGCGCTGGACCCCCACATGGTCCAAGCAGACGGACCCCAGTGGCAGGTGAGTCACAAGACGGCCCCTCTCCCCAGTTCCCCAGTGAAAATGAATTGGCCAAGTCAGTTTGCTGACCCGTTGCATGACAGAGCTATTGCCGTCCATGAGCAGAAGTACGAGAACGCCGCATAAAGTGGTAATTTGGAGGAAAGACAACCTGTATCCTAGCACTTTACGTCAATGCGGGCGGGTAAAGGTAGAGGCGTCCTGGTTTGTTGGATTATGTAGACCCTCAACAAGTTTAGAGTCTCAAAAAATGGGAATTGTAGTTGTGATTACTATCTGCCATTGCGCCTTCATGAGTATTTGTATAGATCGTTAGTATGACGAAAAGTCTGATGAAGGTATTTCTGGCCGTTTCCTTCTCTATGTTCCTCTCCATAGGTAGTCAGGTCTTGGCCTGTTGTGTTGGTTCCTGGAGCTCACAAGAGAAAGCAACATCCCAGAGCCTTCCCCAGCTTCCGTTGACTTCTTTCATCCAAGAGTCCACTTAGTATGCAACAATAATTGAGTGTGATTGCCCGGGAATGTTAGTGTAGTGCCGGTAATTGGCCAAGTGAGCATCCACAGTGACTCGGTTAGCCCCCAATATGAACAGTGAAGATGATGGACAACAGAGTCGGCAGTCAAAAGGTAAGGTGACACAATGGAGTAATTAGAGTTACACCACGAAGACAGGCGTATGAAGAAGAATGAGCGGTGGTGCGAACAGGGACGAAGCAGCGGACAGAGGCAGGAACTATGGGAAATAATTCTGTGCCTGCCTCTTCTCTCAGGCCTACTGTAAGAATCTCACGCCTGCCGGTTCTCGCTAACTCTCTTATTTTCTGTCCCGAATTCAACCTTCCACTTGCTCTCGATTTCACCATCTACACATTCACTCAGACACACGCAAACGAGTACAACAATCAAAGAATAAAATTGAAAAATCGCATTGAGCACCTGAGCCTTAGGTAGCCCACACTGCTGGCACTCGACATCCACTCTCTCAGTGCTTTACTCTACCTTATTACGATCCCCTGTCCTCCAGAGTCCCATCTGAGCTGGCCAGCCGACAACAATCCCAACAAACCAATAACAGATCCCCCACGTGCAGCCAAAAGCGTCCTAGTGCGACTCCGTCACAGCAAAGCTCCTCCGGACCGAATTGCGCCGGGAATCCCCGTCAACCAATTGATGCAACCAAAACATTTTCTCGAACAGCTTCCGCCCCAGCAGACCATCTCCTGAAAGGACACCTGCAACCCGCCTCTTTTTGCCCGTCGCATCTCGTCAACCGCTTTCCCATTGTCTACTCAATTTTTCTCCCCAAAATCCTCTTCCCCGTCAAAAATCAGCAATCATGTCTGTTCCTAACTTCGGAGACATCGCCAAGTCGGCCAACGACGTATGCGCTTTCCCTTTCTCCCTCTCTACCTTTCTCGGGTAATCGCGGACGTGGAAAATCGAGCTCTAGGCTCCTTCCCCAGCCGAGGTCATCTACGATGAAAGAAACCACTCAGCTGACATTGGCCTTCAATAGCTCCTCAACAAGGACTTCTACCACCTTTCTGCCACCACCTTCGAGCTCAAGAGCAACACCCCCAACAACGTTGCTTTCAAGGTCACCGGCAAGACCTCCCACGAGAAGAGCACCGCTGGTGCTGTAAGTCCCGCCCTAACATTCACCGCTTGACGATGCATCAAGGGTCGCATAAACAAACAAAGATGAACCTTAGCTAACCTTATCTTTTTTACCATCCAGATCGAGGGCAAATACTCCGACAAGGCTACCGGTACAGCAACCACCACCCATCGTTTAAAGCGCTTGAATCTTAGCTTGGGTCGAATATATGGACGGCCTTACGGCAGTCCAGTCTCATTCGCAGCCAACGTATCGCCAGGATTTGCACATTTGCTAATGTTCTACCATCGCGCAGGCCTGACCCTCACCCAGACATGGAACACCGCTGCTGCCCTTGACACCAAGGTCGAGCTCGCCGACAGCCTCGCCAAGGGCCTGAAGGCTGAGGGTGTCTTCTCCTTCCTGCCCTCCGCCGGTGAGAAGGCCGCCGCCAAGAAGGGCGCCAAGTTCAACCTCACCTTCAAGCAGAGCAACTTCCACAGCCGCGCTTTCTTCGACCTCCTCAAGGGTCCCACCGCCAACATCGACGCCGTCGTCGGTCACGAGGGCTTCCTCGCTGGTGCCTCTGCCGGCTACGATGTGAACAAGGCCTCCGTCACCGGCTACGCCGCCGCTGTCGGCTTCCAGGCCCCCACCTACTCTGCTGCTATCACTGCCAGCGACAACCTCAGCGTCTTCGCTGCCTCATACTACCACAAGGTCAACTCCCAGGTTGAGGCCGGTGCCAAGGCTACCTGGAACTCTAAGGCCGGCAACAACGTCGGTCTTGAGGTCGCCAGCAAGTACCGCATCGACCCCGTCTCCTTCGCCAAGGTGCGTGATATTGTCCCGTTTGCAACCTGTTTGTATAATATCCTTACTGACCAATTTCCGCGTACAGTTCAAGGTCAACAACAACGGTGTCGCCGCTCTCGGCTACAACGTCCTCCTCCGCGAGGGTGTTACCCTTGGCCTCGGTGCCTCCTTTGATACCCAGAAGCTTGACCAGGCTACCCACAAGCTTGGTGCCAGCTTCACCTTCGAGGGCTAAGCCTTTGTTCACCACATGTATTCTTGACGAGGAAAATTCTTTCAGCTCCTTTCTCCGGCCGGGTAGCGGACCCAATGCTCTTCTGGTTTCATTTGGAGGCTCCTGTCTAGTGTAGATTAGTTCGGGGAGTAATTGAGTTTGGTCGACCGGGAAATCATGGTGTCTTTGCATGCGAGCGCTTCGTGCTGATCCGAACGCTTGGCTTTCGGTCGTGTGATTTATATCTATCATGATAGATGTCTACAGGTTTATGCGCAAGCTCTACTGCTTGGTCTCTATGATTTGGCATCCTTCTTCTTTCGGCTCAGTCCGCCGGTAGCAACAAAGGGTATGAAAAAGGAAAAGAACAAGATCCCGCTGACTACCAAAAACGCTCCCACAGAAGTCTCCTGCGGTCCAACCGGGACCTGCGTGCCCATGATCCTATGCGACCGCCGCGAATCCTGCTTTTGCTGTGTCTTTGTATGCGTATGCGAATCAAAGTGCCGCGGCGCAGCCGACCTCGTGTGCCCGTACGGATCAGACCCGGGGCCCATCCCGGGCTGTTCCTTCTCCGCGCCGGTGCCGGTGGTATCCTCGTGGGCTTCCCGCCTCTTCGCCGAATGTTCGCCCCAGCCTCCGGACCTGTAGAAGCTCGGGGGCGGGCCGCGAAAGGTTGTGCGCCGCCGGGAGAGGCCCGATGCGGGGCGGCCTCCCGCGGGACCCGAGCTGCTGTGGTAGGAGCCGCGTCTGTGGGCGCCGTGGTGGCTGTTGTGGGAGGAGGAGGGGAGGGAGCGGTCGTAGGCTGCGCGTTTGGCGGGGGTGCCGAGGACGGAGTAGGCTTCTGCTATTGCGTGGAATTTGCGGGATGCGTTTGGGTCGTCGCGATTGTGGTCTGGGTGGTGGGTTTTGGAGAGGGCGTAGAAGGATCTGGGAGGGACGACGACGGGTTAGCTTTAAGAGCCCTTGAAGACATGGCATTGATTGGGTGTGGGCAAGCAGGCCCATGGAGCGAGTATTGGATAGGCGTTGCGGGCGGGGAATAGGACATGTTGCTATAGATCTGTGCCGCCTGAATGCGACCAGAATTGTACATAATACACAGCCAATTGGGCTTGGGTATGTAGGTAGGAACATGGCACTCACTTCTTAATATCAGACGGCGAGGCATCGTGGGCGACCTTCAAGGTCTCGTAGTGGTTCGTAGAAGCGACGTCATTTCGAAGCGCACGCGACGTCGTAAACGTACGACACGGAAACCGAGCTCGGAGGCAAATCTGTCCTGGTTCGACAGCAGGAGTAGCTCTCGTCTTCGTTGTCGTCCTCGTCGAAAATGCGCCGGCGCGGTAGAGGGAACGGGCCGCTGCGGGTTGAAGGAGCCGGGGGAGGAGCATGCCGGGCTCGAGCCCGGGCGTTTTCGAGGGGCTTGGTTCTCCGTGACGATTCGACTAGGAGATTCAATTGAAGGAGACAATAGAGACTAGTGGTGGGGCAGGAGCTGGGCGAGCTTTAGGTTGTTTGGGAGAAGCTCGGGATATGATGTCGGAGAAGGAGTGGAGGAAAGTGAGTGTGATTTCGGGATCTGGGTCTCTCTCGCTTCGTTTCTTACGTTCGTTGCGCCCGGGACGGAAGTAGTGACGAAATCGATGGTCGCTTTTGCTCTCGTCGGTCGGTAGATCGGAGCTTGGTGGTACCTACCCCCTGCGCCTCTGGGGTTGTGGCGCTGATTACATAAGGTAATGAAGGGTCCGATCGCCTGCAGTGAGGGAAGTTGCAGAATTACGGAACAACACTCATGCTTCTAAAGTGATTGATGTGAAGCAATTCTCAGAGCAACACACGTCATTCATGACGGTTTTAAAATTTTCAGGGACCATCTGGTATGGCCACTGCGCTATTGACTCTTACTGAGTCCTCGGGTTGGGAACGCAAATGACTCCTCTCAGCCTACATTTGTCCCGACGGTTTGAACAGCTTGGAGCGCATGAGAGTAAATCTGAGGATGAAAGTTTGCTGACTTGTGCCTTTTGAAGTGAGCTCCCGCACTATGGATGGTGGCCAAGATGAGAGTTATTCTTCAGGGCGACTCCTGACCGTCGCGATCACGTATTGCTTTCTATCCTGCAGACTGGTCCAGTCACTCAGGCCGAGTACCCAGGATACACGATTCCTGCCCGCGTGGTGATGTTGATCTATTCTACGTCGCGGTCTGGCATATCGTGTTCGTTCTCGTAATCAGAGTCAAGCTCTGGTTAGCGTGGATACGGCCACAGTGGCCTCGTTGCATCTTAAGCCCCTCGTCTAGTCTCCTCTGGGCTTGTCATTGCCATGCCACTCTGCCTCATCCCTAATCACTGCCTCCTGTTCCTCGTGAAGCTAATTCGGCGTCTAGACTTATTATTAGCACTTCTTGTACAGAAGGTGGCCTGTATAGGAGGGTGTAGAATTTATGTAATCTCGGGGGGTATCAAGCAGGTTCCTCATACACCGTGTTTCCTTGGGGATTCTGTCTTCGAAGGAGCAGCGATGCTGCTGCTTTCTTCGCCCATTACAGTGAACCCGTACCACCTTGTCATATGTCAGCTGTATCTCCATGGCGGTACCATATGTCGGTCTTGCCTTTGCCTCGTCTCAATCATGGAATGGTTGTACTACATCGTGTCGTCTGGACCGCTGTTCGATGTCTAGCCCGGATAGGGTATATGTGCCCCCCACCTCCATCCCTTCCCGGCTTCCTTCAGGGCTTGGGATTGAATGTTCTCTCATACGTATTTTTAACTTCCATCTGCCCGGGAAAGGGGGAGGGGTGGGGGGCAGCCGTGTGTTGCATGCTGGGAAGTGAAGCGTTGGCATCACGGACCTGGAGGCCTCTAGCCAATTGCTTACCTCACCAGGCCCCGAAGGTGACAGTAAAGCAAAGATTAATGTTAAGAGATGAAAGGCTCTTGTAAAACCCGAGTTCCTCTGGTGGAGTAGTGACTCACTTGTCCGTGGCGTGCTGTTAAGGCTTTCAACCACCATCAAATCCGGACATCATGGCGCGTCGCCCGATGCGATGCGTTGTCATGAGAACTCGGAAAAGCAAAGTCTTGTATTCCTTATCCCTCACAGCCTTTGCGGTCATCTTTCTCGAAATACACATCCTTCGACAAAACTTGAAAGTTGACTATGAGCAAAAGACGAGTTACCTAGCGGAGCTGATCTCGACGACAAATCTCCCAGATTCGTAAATGCAGAGGCTTCGCGACGCATTCAAACGCTCAGGGACTCGATTAGACTTATATAATCTTTCTCTTTATGCTTAAAATTACAGTTGATAAACCTTACTCGCAGATGTCGATATCTGTGAGTGGTTGACGCTTCATTACGCTATACATGGAATGTTGATGTGCTGACATGGATATCGGTCTTTCGTATTATCCCTTTCCGACTTGAAGAGTCATCATCGTCGGTCTCATGCTCTCTGGCACCCGCACGCGAGGTGCCCCGTTTGGCTGATGCATGATACGTTCTGTCGTTGCCACTGAGCGAGCCAAGCTTGATACCTGGGCCAGCACTTCCAAGGGCGTCTCCGCTCTACAAGAAAGATTGAGTTAGACACCGTCTACAGCATGACGCGGAGTAAGGGCATAGCTTACCTCGCCTGTGATTTTGTAATTCCCGTCGTGAGAGGAGCCATAGTAAAATTTGAATAGTTTTCGCAGGGGAGGAAGCGACGATCCAATTATTCCCAAACTGCACTCGAGGTTGGAAGTAATGCTGATGACTCCCAGGTGATCTATAGGATAGGCATGCCGCGTAAGTTTATGTTTGAAGAAGAGAAAGTGTAGTTGTAGAATATGACTTACAGGCGATCTCCGTGGGGTATTTCGCAGTGTCGTAATACTTGAGGTAGGGCATGCGGATGCAGGTAGCAATACTGGCGAAAATTCCGAGGCCGAGAATAGCTATGACTGAAACTTTCTTACGGCGAGACATTTGCAGGCCGGCCACAATAAAGAAGGGAACAATGGCGCATGTCCAATCCGTCAACATCTGAATCGCAGAGACGATGTAGCTGACAGTCTGCAAGCTGATCTTCTTTTGGCATGATCCCCTGTTAAACGAAGTCAGTGGACGGACGAAAAGGGGCAATCTGATTTCTAATAAAAAGCTGATGTCCAATCGCAACATCCACTATAGCTCAAAGAAAGACTTACAATGCCGGGTTCCATGTTGCTGCAAGCGGGGTGCAGTTTGCAAAGACAAAGATCAAAGCCAGGATGGCTACGACCACCATTACAGACATGTTGAGGATCATACAGATGACCACTCGCTTCCGTCGATCCAGACGTATACAAGTGAACCCAATGGCGCACTTAATAATAGTTGACGAGATGAAGTATAGTACTTCCCAGTAGGTCTGATACTCGGAGGCGCGAATCAAGTAAAGTTGTGATGGGAGGTCGGCATCGTGAAATCCTACGCCAAAGCGTGATGCAAGAACTGCGAAAACGACTGCTGGTATAAATGGAAGCTGTTGCGCTGTTAGTTAGCGAGTTTTCGAGAGTGATTTGGTATAGTAAAATTATACGAATGGTTGAGGAGCGCAAGGCTAGTGTCTAAGCCGAGGAGACCTACAGTTCCTATTACTGCCAAATAATCTTCAACGCCCCAGAGTCGTGATGAAGCACCTGATAAACCGGCACGAACGTAGATTCGGAGTGACACGACGATGACGCTGATAATGCCTAAGATGATGGCGACAAACTCGACGGCAGGCGCCAGGCCCTTGGGTGCAAGGGGCTCAAGTTGGTAGGCAAAGGCTTGTATCTGCTCCCCCGTCATAGAAGCCGCCATCTTGGGCGTAATTCGGTCAACCCTATGGCCTCCACTTCACAAAGGAGGTCGTTCTATGCCTTTTCTTCGTCGCGGACCCGAGATGCCAAAGAGGGGAAGAAAGCGAATCTCGAGACGAACTTTGATCTAGACTCTAGGCTGGAGACATCGGAGGAATTCAAAAGCCAAGTGGGATGCCGGGAACATGCTGCCCACCACATGGGAAGGGAGGCATTTTACTACAGACCGCGGTTCCTGGATTTAACTGACAGCTGGATGCTGTGGGGGAGCTCCGACGTAACGTGCACCCCTGGTCAACGTCTGGTCTCATTCCCATGTCTTCTTCCCATGGTTAGGTGGAGGATTTGGCTCCTTGGACGTCCCAGAAGAGGCAGATTTTCGTAGCCAACCCCACAAACGGAACGGCAATAAGAGCTCGTTGAGACTTTAATATGTAAATACCAAGGCAAGATATTCATTTTCAACATGTCGACCTGGGCCTTGGGTTTCGACGAGTCAGCGGAAGCCACATTTTGGTCGAGATGAGCCCTGCCTCGTGGGGCGAACTGTCAGTTTTCGTCCGAGGCCCTTGCGACACCCATGGCGACGAAACCCCTTTCTGCCATCAGTGCCATGGCTTCTTCATGGCAACTTTGCAAGGCAGCACATAAGCGAGACCATCGGCTCATCGATGCCTCCTCTTCGGTCAAGGTATGTAGGTTTCGCTAACAGCTCTAGCTGCAGTAGCTGAGTTCAGTCGTTAAGAGGATTGATGCAACCCAACCAGTTTTCGTGGTGCAGTACGAGATCGCCCCTGCCCGCGATCAACCGTCTCGTTACCATCTTTGACGTGGTGGCCGCTGCGGACGCTTGTGCCGCGGGTTGGTGCAATCTCTTTTCGTCCCTGGCCTAGAACTGGGGGTTCGTTGGCGTTTTGATAGGACCCGGGGGAGGGGATCCGGAGGCAGGGGAGTGGTAGCGAACTCCACCGCCCGACGCTATCCAGCCAGTCAAATAACGATGATCACCAGGACGGCACGTTGCAATAAATGAATCTAGCTGTGCCATAGGCTGCAGTTTTCGTAAAACGTCCAGGACCCTGTCTAAGAAATACCACCCAGCACCGCGTACAAGCCACTGACTCGACTGCAATGCGACTTCGGCCAAAATCTGGATGGTGTTCTTGTGCTCTAGGATAACGGCGAAACCCTAGAGGCTGGTGCTGTGCCAATTTCATCCGGGTTGATCTTTTCTTGAAACCTAATTATCACATTGGTTCGTCAGTTATGAAGCTCGATCCTTTGGGCGTACCTGTTCTGCACAACTCTGATGCTGAGAGTACACACCGTGCTAGGTACGCTAACACGATAGTGACACACACGCTTCGCGCGGAGACAGCCTATGAATACTTACTCAGTCCCACGCACCCATTTGTGCAGCCGTTAACGCAACACCCAAGATTTCTATTGGCAGAGGATCCAGGATGTCCATACCTAGCGTGCTAGCCAGGCCACCCAATATGTTTGACACCTGATTCTTTACCAATGCGGCGGGATTGTCCACATCACGGATAATAACCCTGGTCTGAAAAAGCCGCCAAGTGGTCTAGGTTAGCAGTTGCACCAACAAGTCACTTCATGCGGAGCTTCCTGCTGAAGAATGTTGCACTGGGGTTGCAAGATCCAGGGGTCTTATCAACTGACCACTCAGAAGCTCGAGATATTTCATCCGTTTTCCGAAGATGTGCGAATTTCCGCTGTTGACCGACGAGAGCTCCCCCCTCTCTCATAATCATACTCTTCGCTCTTTGTTTGTACAGACAACTCGTGTAGACGGTGAGTCGTCGATCGCACTTCGTCATAATGTTGGGCACTATTCTTGCCTTCGTGGCGCTGTTAGCACTCTATCTCATCGGCAGCGCCATCTACAACGTCACTCTCCACCCGCTGGCCGATGTGCCCGGCCCCAAGATCTGCGCCATTACTCGAATTCCATACTGGCTTGTCGCATTGAAAGGTGAAGATATAGAATGGATGAAGAGCTTACATGAAGCTTATGGCCCTGTCGTTCGTTTCGGCCCTACGGACCTGAGTTACACGGCCGGAGAGGCCTGGAATGATATCCATGGGCCCAAGGTGACTGAAAAAGCCCAAGAGTTCTCAGTTCAGCCTGTGAATGGTGCGCCATATCCCAACAGCTTAGGTTCCCAGATTCAACTTTGGCACATGAGCTAACACAAAATACCGATGGGTTGCAGGCGTCCCAAGTATGCTTACGGCGAACACCGAAGATCATGCTCGAGTCCGTCGCCTCTTCTCACCTGCCTTCTCGGAACGTGCGCTGAGACAACAAGAGCCGCTGTTCCGGAAGTACGTGGACCTTCTGATGTATAAGATCAGCGAGATTGGCGAGGAAGGAAAAAAGGCCGTGGAAATGACCCAACTGCTCAACTTCGCAACATTCGACGTCATGGCAGAACTTTGCTTTGGCCAGCCCCTTGGCCTGCTGGCGAAGAACGAATACAGCCCCTGGGTCAGATCAATCTTTGAGTCGCTCAAGATGTTGCCCATCGTCTCTATCATCAACTACTACCCCATCCTAACTACCATATTCAACCGCTTCGAGCCAAAGTCTGTCGTGGAGCAGCGTGTCACTCACTGCAAGCATTCAGAGGATCGTGTGAACCAGCGATTGCAGGATGGCTCTGACCAGCCGGATGTCTGGAACCTGGTTTTGGCGGCGAAGGAGGGCAAAGGCCTGTCTCTCGAAGAGATGCATTCGAACTCGGAAATTTTCATGCTTGCTGGATCGGAAACGACAGGTAAGAAAATGTCGTAATCTGTGGACTAGAGGGAAAGCTGACTGAGTGCACTAGCTACACTTCTTAGCGGTTGTCTTTACAATCTGCTCACCTACCCCGATAAAATGAATACCCTTCTTGAAGAAATTCGAGGCAATTTCACAAAGCTGGATGACCTCACGTTCGAACGTCTTCAAGAGCTGAAGTACATGAATGCCTGCCTGAAGGAGGCGCTGCGCGTTTATCCCCCGGTGCCGATCGGAAGTCCCAGAGTGGTGCTCCCAGGTGGACAACAGATTCTTGGCAAATGGGTGCCTGCTGACACGCGCGTGTCTGTCCACCACTGGTCGACGTACAAATCCGAGTCCAACTTTAAGAACGCCGACACTTTTACGCCAGAGAGATGGCTCAAGACGGACCCCACCTACGCCGGAGATGCGCTGGAAGCTCACCAACCGTTCGGTTTCGGGCCGCGTAACTGCCTGGGCCAAAACATGGCGATGCACGAGATGAGACTCATTTTGGCTACTTTGCTCTTCTCATACGACCTCGAGCTGTGTGAGGAAAGCCGGGACTGGAAGAACCAAAAGGCATTTGCGCTCTGGATCAAGAACCCATTGATGATCCGCGCAAAACCATTGGCAACACAAACTAGATTGAAAATCTGAGGTAAATTCCGTCCGCTTCGCTTCGGCTCTGATCAGTAGTACCTAACACCGATGGACACAACTCAAGTTGCAATGGATACATATACTCTTCTCTCGACCAATGGAATCGTCAATTAAGTGACGTCAGATTATTATTGTGGTTCTGAGACATCCAAGGGATCTAACCGGCGGGATGCTGACGATGGCGGGAGATCGACATTTTAGATCGTGTTAGTCCAAGCGCGACCTCGGACACATTTCGTCGACTTTTGGGCTTGACCACAATTATAAAGCAGCTCACCGATTTCTTTCTCTTCCGCATGACACTTTTTGCTTTTCTAACATGGACCGCAAAATAACAATAAATTCTTGTAATCAAATCATTTAACTATTCAAACAAACCTTTGCGCGATACCTGGAACTTTATCGTCCAGAATAGTCACAAACCTCAAAATGACGAAGGTTATCTCTAGACGTCTTCAAATATCGTCTTACATAATATACGAATACTACGTTGCTAGAGCTTCGAATTCTACTTTACCGAACCTCCTCTTTTTACACGGGTTTCCCTCCACTGCGACCGACTTCCGCCAACAACTAGAGCACTTCGCCTCCCTGGGTTACGGTGTCATCGCACCCGATCTTCTTGGCTACGGCGGAACTTCCAAGCCAAAAGACCCGCAAGAATACACATGGCGCAAAATGAGTACACATATCAAAGCCATACTGGACGCGGAGAACCTCCACACTGTGGTAGGCGTAGGCCACGATCTGGGTTCATGGTTCCTCAGCAGGCTTTACCACTTTTACCCTTCCCGGTTCAGGGGCTTGGTGTTCTTAGACGTCGGATACTCTGTACCCGGAGAGAAATTTGATGTCGAGATGATCAACCGAATGACAAAAAAGATGACTGGCGAAGAGAGATTTCGATACTGGGATTTCTTTACGGATGATGAAGAGGTGGCCCTCATGGATCGAAATGTCGAGTCTGTGATATCTCTTATGCATGCTTCACCTGAAGTCATGGCTGCGAATCTCGGGCCGCCTGGAAAGGCTCGAGAATGGGTCTCCTCTGCAAAGATTGCGCCAACCCATTCTTTTGCCGACGGAGATGTTCGGAAAGACGAATACTTCCTGACAAAGGTTGCTTCGTTCAGGACAGGTGGATGGACAGGCCCAACAAACTGGTACAAAGCGCTCCGAAACAACTTGTCTTTTGAAGATGAGAAGGATATGGATAAAGGGCTTGAAGTGCCCGTGTTACTAATCGGCTGTGGAGGAGACGAAATGACTGTTGCTTCATTGCAGGATCAGATGACGAGGCCGTGGGCAAAGGCCGGGTATCACTTCGAGGTGCTCGAAACAGGACACTGGGTCATGCATGAAGATGAAGAGGAAACTAATCGATCGCTGCAAGAGTTTCTTGAGAAACTTGAGTGAAGTTGACATCACCATGTCCAAATATCATTTGGCCTTTGTTTAATTTGACAAAAAGAAAATCAGACCCTAAAGATGAGTTTAACGTTCAATGAGCCTCAAGACGTTAATGAGAAATCGCAAGACGCCTCATACCTAGCGTCATATCTCATCAAGCACGACGGTCCAGAAGGCTTTTAGTTCGGCCTGTTGTGCTTCATTTCGAGCTCATGGATAATGCCTAATTTAAAGCAGACGAAGTCGTATAGACAAGGCTAGGAATATTTTCCACCAGATCAACGTGAGTTGAAATAACGACGTCATCACTCAGAGACGAGCCATGACACCGTACCGCCAGTATGCTTGTAGTATACCTTGAGCCACCAGCTCGGCTCCCGCGGTTCTTCAAGCCAAAAAACGTCTATCGCGGGTGCCGAGAGACTGCAGGTCGATCCTTCTTGATCCACCGCTGAGCAAAGCTACTCGAACTTGCTCATTGGTCAGGTCGATTGAAAATCAAGTCTAAAGACAACCCTGCTGAGTGAAGATATACCGGCCTTCGTTCCCGCCTTCAGGTATAGATTATAGCACGGACGGCGGATCCTATGCTAAGCTTTTTTGAGATCCCTTGGCCTTGAAGAAAAAAGACTTGGTTCAGCGACAGGCCTTTTTGCTCTATCCACACTCGAGACCTCGGCTAGGAGACCCAGAAGGAGTTGAATGAGATGAGCCTAGCTGTGGCTAAAAATACACTGTGGGCAACCAGTGCTAGGCGGTGTGCTCTGGCCATCTCCATTTCGATCATCAAGCAATTATTGGCCATGAGGTAATCTTATAAAAGGCTAATGTCTAAGGATAAGAATTGCAAAGACATTAAAGAGGAATCTTCATTACTGCGATTTCTCGAGGGATATAGATTGGTATCGGCCGTACAGCTTTATCCTCTGGCTCTCCGCTAGACTTTGTCGATCCACACCTGCATGTAGCTATCGGAATCCATACAGAAACCATCTTTGTTAATGGCAAGTCGCGAATTCATCGGGCTCTCAGATAGACCATCATGCAAGCTGTGCTGCGCTTTCGATCCGCAAGCCCCGGAGTAACCTTTCAACACGGTCGCAACCCCGCTTGTGGGATCCGTCATGGCTTCGGACCCGGTCGTGGCAGGCAGCAGCTTTAGATAGGCGGGCCCGGAGTCGGCCGTGGCCTGAACTTTGCGTCCATCTAAGGAGGCTTGCTACCGTTTGCCTGTCTTGTACTCCGGAGACAACCGGGAACTACACCTTCAGAAGACCGTGCATTGGCTAGTGAAAATCTGCCAATCATGAGTCTTGACACAATTTCACACTCTAAATTTCCTTTTTGTCCTTGGTCCTAGCTTAGGTATGAATGCTTACCACTCTTAGCCACAGTCGGCCAGAGCTCTGACGATGCCATCAAGCAAAGAGAAACAGTGGGATTATGGTATTCGAGCCGGTGTTCTGACACTGTGAGACTGGGGTGGAATGACAGCCAAAGAGATTTGCGAGAAGTATGGAATGCCCCTGCGGACTTTCCACGCGATCCACAACAAAGCTCTAGCCCGAGGATGGGGACCAGGTCAACCGGTGCTAATTGCTCATGTCGAAGACGGAGCTCGCTCCGGGCGCCCGAAGACGAAAGGAGTCGGCTCTGACAGGCCCCTCAAAGGTGTGGCTAGTATCGACCCAGTCTCTAGCCAAGGGACGTAGAGACAAACTCCACAGTCAAGTCTGGACGGAATCAAATCTATGTGAGCAGTTTCTGTACCTCGTGTTGAAGACATATGGACCTAACACCATCTTTCAAAAAGCCCGCTTCATATCCGCCCGGCGATACTTGATGCGGCTCGCGATGAGTGGAGGCGTGCTGCAATCTTAGCAACGACAGGAAGGCCTTCGCTTGAGTGTATTTGGAGACCTGACCACGCAAGTCGAGAGACTCGAGGCTGTAAGAAGATAATTAGTACGGATAGACCAGGTGGGCATAGGAGTAGGCATTTGTTATCGAGCATAAAGGCATCGCCATGTTATGTTTCCTTGTTTAAGTGAACCTTATCACCTGCCTTCAACGATTCGTCGCTTTCTTTTGTTTAACTCCTGACGTCCAAAGGCCCGACAGATTCCCTTTAGCAACAAAAATTTGAGCATGATAGGCACCCGCTTGCTCACAGCCGTCTCAACGACTATGTTCTTGTTCATGGAAATAGCCACGAGAGACCACCCTCCTTCGCGTATCAGAATCCGGACGCGGATGTCGGTCGAGGCTCCCTGACCAAGTACATGAATATCCGTGATAACATCACAGAGTACATGCTGGAGTGTCGACGGGCATTTCCTCCAGTCTCGGACTAGGCCAATAGTGCTGCAATTCTCAAGCGTCAGGATGAAGGGCCTGGTGCGGGGGCCCTTCTTTGTCCCTGAATGCCTACAAACAATACAGCATCAGGAGCGCTAATCAGAAATTCAGCCCTACCCAGAGGGCACACGTCGCGAAGCTGGTAAAGTTAACCCACAAGGCAGGCGACCGCATTAGCGCCTTCAAGACTTGGCCTAACCCCTGCGATGACGTGGGCACTGAAGACTTTGCGAAAGTCTTCGACACTTTGACGGGTGACGCTGGCAACGTCGTCAGGTTTTGCAAAGCCCACGTAATTTCAGGAGGGTTGTCGTAGGAAGGGAGATACTGCATGTCTCCGAGAGTAGTGTGAGATTCGGAATGCAGAAGAAGGCATTGCTTGACTCCATTTTCTGGATAAACATAATATAAGTAGAAAAGCGAACTAATGGTAGAGGCCAAAGAGGTTATAGTAGCAACAACGACAACGCATAACCTGGGTATTCTAGCTGCCTAATATAGTCATAATACTCAAAGTAGCCAGCCTTTTCTTCATAACTGCAATGTAAAGTGGGTGCGTAACTTTCTTACATACTTAGTCACACTTACCCTGGCTCTACTCATGACTTAAGGAGGGCGGAAGCTGTGTTGACCAGGTAATCAGATTGACCCGCTCAGATAAACAGCCCTCAATGGAGTTACATAAGTTCATGGTAAAAGACTAGATTTCTCATAAATGAGGGATTAAACTGCTTCGTCTACCCTGAAAGAAGTATAGGACACTGGCGCTGGAGCTCGCGAAACCCACCTCTTCTCGGAATCCAAGTCCCGATGCCAGAACCGATTGGTGGAAGGGATTCGAAATTTCGGAAGAGTACCACACTGCACCTGCTTCAGATAGCGACAAGGACACAAGAGCTCAAAAATACGAGAGTATGATAGCTTCTCTAAGGGACGAACCTAAGAGGAGATAGCCTAGATAGGCTGCGATTAAAAGCCTCGTCTATAAAATACATCACGAGCTTCGAACTTCCATAGAGATGACCGCCCATCCTACATCGCTTCAAGAAAACTTACAGTCACTTCTCCAAAATGAAAATCACCACCACCTTCGTTTCCCTTCTCTCCCTTACTGCCAGTACGATGGCGAGCCCAATTCCAGAGCCAGCTGCTGCTCATGTACGCCTCTCCCAGCCGCACGATCTGCTAGTTCCTCTTAGAATCTAGACAATCGATATCAGTTCTGTCGCTAACGTATGCCATCAAACAGAATCCACGCGCTGCCTGCCCATCCCAAGTCAACAGCGCCTGCAGCAAGTACAGCAACGCCAATGGCCAGAGACAATGCCGAGGCGGCCAATGGAACTGCGTTCATCTCAACCCGGTCACTCTGGATGGGAATTTTGTCACCTATACTTCAACGGGTGTTTCTTGTTCTAAGAATGGAGAATTGTGCTCCTGAATACTGTGAATGACGTCAATTTGTCGTATCTCCGATGTCAAGAGGACGCGCATTCTATTGGGCTTTGAAGTCACACCTTACTTGAACGGACGTCGATGAGGTAGCCACTAGAACCTCCGGTTATCGCATGCTGAACAGACAAAGACGGTCATTTGTATACAGAACCATTTGTAATTACAAGATAAAAGACTGCTCGTCTTCATTGATATGTAATCGAAAAGTCAAGTGGGTGTTCTGTACGAGAAGTTCCACAACATCAGTAGTAGTAACGACACCCTCGCCAGAAGGCCCTTGTTTGATACAGGGAAAAAGTGTACGAGGAGACTTCGATTCCCAGTTTCTCAATTGGCGACTAAGATGTTAAATCGTGTGATACAGTGATAGACTGTAGGACATGGTACCTATCATTACATGTAGGTTTACTCAAACAAAACCCTCCACTTTTGATACCACTTGGTTCTTACCGGTGCAGGCTGTTCTGCAGCGAAGATCTCGTCTAAGCCAGACTTCAGGTCGACATCCATCGGATTAAGTACCCAGGGATCTTGTCGTCCCACAGTGAACTTGTGCCCGAAGAAAAGCAGCAAGAAGATTACCACCCCGATGTACGACGTAAAGAAGGAAGAGGTGTTCCACTGTCCTGCGAGGAATACCTTGAAACCATTGATTAAAAGCAGTAGACTGAAGCCGAACAAGCTTAACATGCTTGAGTAGGGCTGGAAGCGGGAACGAAAGGGGATGTCTGTGATGCCTTGTGCATCTGATGCCTTGCGATATCTAAAGTAGATAATGCAGCAGCAAATCCAACTTTGATAAGCACCTGTATTGATCAAGTTGACGAACCAGTTGAACACGGTCGCACCAGTCGAAGCAACGTTGAGATACGCCAATAATGAGAATGCGGCACTGGCTGCCGTGGCGTAGTATGGGACACCTGACTTCGTACAGCGGGTGAAGATCTTTGGCGCGTTGCCTGCAAGGGCCATCGAGTAGAGTGCGCGGCTAGCAAGGTACTATTCAAGTTTACATAGATTAGAAGATATTCGAGGACCTATTTCAGGAGCAGGGACGGAAAAATACCAGATAGGAGTTGCCTGCAGACCAAGCACTCAGCACGATCACGACGTTCACCACGCTGTCTAGGCCCTTGATACCTGCCTCCCTGATGCCAATAGCCCAAGGAGAAGCACCAGCACCTTTGCCACCGCTGAGAAGGTTGATATTGTTGCTGCTGACAATGATACCCACAGCCAGAGCACCAAGAATGTAGAATGTGATGAGGCGATAGAAGTATCGACGGGTCGCAGTAGGAATATTACGGCGAGGGCTTTCCATCTCTCCGCCGGTGACGACAAGAAGTTCCGGCGCAAACGCGAACGCAAATACGGAGAAGGTGATGGTCGAGACAAATGCCACCAGACGCCCAGAATCTCCCGTCACGATGTATTCTTTGACCGGCCCTGGACTAGACCAGTTCGAAAACCAAAGGGGTTGGTGCGAGGGCCCGCCGCCAAAGAAGAGTACAAGGGAGAGGATGAGCAGCCCGATAATACCAAAGACTTTCATACTGGCGAACCAGAACTCAGCTTCCCCGTAGACTTTGACGGGGAAGCAATTGAGGGCAATCATGACGGCGCCGATGAGCGTCAGCCAAAACGCAATGTGTAGAGGCGGCGACCAATAGTTGATGACAATGTAGGTCGCAGTGATCTCGGCCGGAACCGTGATGGAGAAGATATACCAGTATACCCAACCCAGCGTAAATCCAAGACTGCGCGAGAAAAATCGTTGGCCGTAGTAGGCAATTGAAGAGCCGGGGACTGGAAGGTAGGCACTCATTTCGCCGGTGGCCGTTGCCACTCCGTAGAGCAGAAGTGTGATGCTGATGTAGGAGATGAGGAGGAACAGGGGCCCGCCCATATTCAGGCCCTGGCCGACGCCAACGAAGAGGCCAGTTCCGATTGTGCCCCCCAGGGCGATCATTTGTGCATGTCGAGACTTGAGGCCACGTTGGGTCGAGCCGTGTTGTTGTCCCTCAGGACCTAGCACCCCTCCACGTACAGACTCCATAGGACGGAGCTCGACATCGGTGTCGGCGATGGCTGGGGACTTCATCTTTTCGGTGTCGTAAGATACTGGATTAGACATTTCGGCCTCGTAGATGTCAGTTGTACAGACGTTCGAGTTATCTAAACGAAGTTCCAGGACTGAAGAGTAAACAGCCTTCTGTAAGAACGAAGTAGGCAATCCACGGAGATTAAACCCCTACCAGACGTTATTGTAGTAAGGTTTTGATCCGCAATCGAGTTGATATAAATCAAGAGGACCAAAGGGAATGTTACTTAAATACTTGAGTCAAGATGAGGAGGGAGATGGAAGTGACTTGAAGTCGAGCAGAATTTTGCAACGCTGCTTACCAGTTCGTCACGGGGTACGCAGCAGTAAAACTATCTTTGGTTTGCGCATACATTTCCGACTTAGCCCAATACCATGGGCGCGGGTATCAATCTTGGTCTGGAACGTTTCCCGATGATTATCTGGAATGTTTCCCAAGGCTATCAGCTTCATTGTGCTTAAAACCTGGCGTAACTCATGATACGCTGGGGTTAGCTTGCACTAAGGCTGATAAGGGAGGCTAAGAGGTTTTGTTGTTGGTGTTGTCGTTATTACTTTCCTAAAACTTTTGAGACTACCTACTCAGCCAAGCTTCTGGCAAGGAGAACTTCCCCGCGCAATTATCGGCCTCCCCGGACACATCCCTGAAGTCGGCTGATATGTGCGATACGCAGCGCATATGCTAGTCTTGATGCTGGCTCTTGTCGTATTTGCCTTCACCAAGACTCTGTTAAACGCCAGACTTGCAGAAGACTGACATAAAGGCAGTGGAGGTGAAATGGAAAGTATTTCCGCGTGGTGTCGAGACAGCGTGAACCATGTTGCTGAAGAATGCAGGCTTCATCCCTGACGGCGATCACATCAGCAGGAGATCTACATCATTTGGCATGCCAATCTCATCCTCAACCGGGAGAGCCAATTGTGAAAATGACCAAAGTACAGACGCAGATTGAAAGCGAAGCAAATCAACTCCAGCATAGTCAGCTTGACTGATGCGCGGCAAGGTAGCTTACGAGGTCAACCGGTGCAAAAAGTTCAGGACATTGAGATCACGAGCCTTTTACCCGAAAAGAGAAGTGTCTGCCACTAGTGTATCTGGAAATTCGTAGAGTCTATTGTACTTTTTCTACGTCTAGTTTTGGGTCGGCATCACCACGCTTGCCTTACTCGCCTCCTCATCTTCCAATTTCCAGAGGCTGGTGACCGTTTTGGTCTGCAAATAGAAGTTCAAGCCTGCTTTGCCGTAGAAAGTGTTGACGCCACCGCCGGCGATGCTTGCCTTGTTTCCTGTGAAGCTGAACATAGGCAGCGGCACTGGGATTGGAACATTGATGCCAAGCTGCCCAGCCTCTACATTCTTCTGGAACCAAGAGGCAGCAGCACCGGAATTGGTGAAAAGAGCAACGCCATTGCCGTAGGGATTATTGTTGACAAGTTGGGTGGCTTCGGCTAAGGTCTCCGCCTCGAGACAAACCAAGACGGGGCCGAAAACCTCCTCCTTGTAGCACTTCATGT